GATGTAAGACATTCTCATTTCAACATGAGGGCTGGCTAATGGTGACTCTCAGACACTGGCTGGTGTGAGGGGTTTCCAGGGAGGCATTTCTCCACCTGACAATGTTTATGGATGTGATGTAGGTAAGTGTTTGGGGTGTGTGAGTGCAGGTGTGTAGGTACATGGGTGTGCATATGTGTGACAGTGTGTGGCAGTGTGTGGGGTGCATGTGTGTGACAGTGTGTAGAGACAGTGTGTGTGTCTAAGTATCATTTGCGAACTACATGTGTGGTTACTTGTAAGCCTGTGTGTGTGTGACAGAGAGAGAGAGAGAATAGGTGTTCATATAAGGTCTGTATATAAGGTATAATAGGTGTTCATGTATATAAGGTCTGTAAGGATTCTGATCCCAGGCAATGCTGGTCACTGCTCTGCCTCCTCCCACCCACTGCCCTAACCACAGCTTCCATATGTCCCCTGACACTTCTGAGATGACTCCTCATGTGACCTCTTCCAGAGACACTTGCAGGCCAAGCCTGCTCTTTCCTAAGTGCTACCATTACAGGCACTTGTGGCATCCAGGAATGGGAATAGGAATGGGAGAGGTCCTCAGAGTCTCCACCCAAAGCCGTGAGCTGACGGCCAAAGTCCACTCTTCCCCTTTTCTGAGCTCACTCCAGACTACATTCTCCAGGCTGCCTTGCAGTTGGGGCTGTCCAAGTGATAACCTCTGGTAAATGAAATTTGTTGGCAGTAGTGTGTGTGACCTCTGGGCCAGGCCTTAAAAGAGACGGAGCATCTGTCCCTCTTTTCCCTTCTGCTGGCCTGGGTGTGGTGACAAGGCCCAAGGGGTGATGAAGACCTGGTGCCTGAGTCTCCAAGTGAAGAAGTCACCCTGACTAACCTGGTATACCACCCCGGTCTCTTAGGAGAGCCAGAAGTCAGATGCTATTGTACCTGAGCCCTGGATGCGTTTGCAACAGTAATTAGCCCCTTCTGATTAATATGGCCACCTTTAGATGAGATGAGGTGAACCCGAGAAGTCTGTCACTGTTACACATAGGTGTGTGACCAAAAAGAGCAGGGGAGTGTGTATTTGTGGAAGAGGAAGAAATTGGTGCTGGTGACTACACGAGAGCTGCAATCCTTGCTTCCCTGGAATTGTCAGCAAACTCCCCCTCTTTAATCTCCAGCCTCCATCCCCCTTTCAGCCACTGCTTTTTAGGTGCTCTTCCCTCTCCAACCCCCACTGATGATGCACAGCTGCCTGCTGGGCCTCAGCACTAATTTGGAGAAGCCATGTCAAGCTTCCCCACTGAACTTCCCTGGCTCTGCACCCTCATTACTGACTCTTTACAGAAGCACTGACCTGGGTCAACCTCTCTGGCCAGATGCGAGACCTCAGGGCACAGGAAAAGGCCTCATTAAACCAAGGTGAGTGGCCCTGGCTCCCCAATCTCTCCCTTTTCCTGCAAGCCCCAAAGGGGCCTGTTTGCTTCCCTGCACAAACTGCAAGCAGTGGTGGAGATGTGGCTGCATCTATCTTGCACACAACTGATTGACTGCTTACCATGTGCTGAGCACTTGACAGGCAGGGTCTCTTTGCTTCTACACACTGACTCTAGGAGGTAGGAATAATTATCCCCACATTACAGATGAAGAAACTGAGGCTAAGGCAGATGGGTGACCTGCTCAAGTTCACACGCTGGAAAGTGGCTGAGCCAGTGTTGTAAGCCAGGTCTGCCAAGCCACTGAGTGTGGTCTTCCCTATACTGTAGTACCGTGAACTGAATTGAGCAGAATCAGATTTCAGCAGGAAGCAAGTCTTAGAGTTAGACTGTTTGACAGCAATTAAAAGTATTTATCCTACTACAATGACAGCTAACATTGATCAAACTCTTACCACATGTTGATACATGTCAAACAAACAGTTTTGAGTAAGTCACATGTATCAACAGTAACTGTGAGGGATGGACTATTATTATCCCCATTTTACAGATGAAAAAATTCAGGCTTGGAGAGGTTAAGTGATTTGCCTAAGGTCTGACAGAGAGATGTTTGTGTTTAGGTAAGAACTAAACCCAGCACTCTCATATTACCTCAACATTCAACCCTCATGATAACCCTGGGAAGTATTTTTCTTAATTATGCTCCCCATTTTAGAGACAGTGATTAACTTGATTGCCCTGAAGTCACATGGCTAAATTAGAGGTGCAGATCGGATTCTAGTGAGTGATGAGGGTTATCTTGCTACTTCTGAATGCTCATGGAAGGTCTGAAGGAAGAAAGGAAGCCATGTGGATATCTGTAGTCAGTTTCTCCACAGAGGAAGCTGCCAGTGCAAAGGCACTGAGGCAGGAAGAGTAAGGAGGCTGGCACAGCCGGAACAGAGTGAGGGAAAGGGAGAGTGGTAGAAAATTAGGTCACCAAGGGAGTAAGTAGCCAGAAGCCAGGGCCTGGAGGGCTCATGAATAGATTCAGTCTTATGCTCCAACTCCAAGGATTTGCTGGCTGCTCATATTGAGAGAGATTTTGAGGCTATGTTCAAATTCACTGGGGACACAGTGCTATGAGTCTGGGAGAATGTATGTCTCAAATTTGTCGTTTCTGGCCCAGGGATCAGGGAACAGTTAGAATGACTGGAATTACCAGTACAAATGGTAGGATCCCCTCCTCTGGTGCGGGATGCTAGCCATCCCTAAACTCATGGCCCTGAGTAATGACAGGGGAAGGCATGTGGCTGCTCCTTACACAGGAATGGTCATGGGGCTGGAATGACCCTGTGAGGGCTCCAAGGGTCAGAAGCCTCTTACCAACTTCTGAGAAGGTCCATGGGTTGCTGCCCCACTGCCTTTGCCTCTCCTGGGAACACGCGGAGACGCAGGTACCCTGAGTCACTCTGTCTGGTTGGCAGTGGCTTTGCCCTGTCTGCAAGTAGAGGAGCCATACTCAACACAGCCGAGAATCTAAGGCAGAGCTCTCAACACCCATCCCACAGACCAGATCTGTCTGGCAGATCAGCTCAACTTGAGGGTTTGTTGTATTAAGGGGTGGGTGATACTGAACCAAAGGAGGCACATCTCTGATCTTGGAAATCCAGGCCTTGGGATGTGTGGCTGGCAAGCCTGTGTGAGCTAGGAACTGAGAGACTTGGGCTACATCTGGACCCTGGCTGGGCCAGCAGAAAGACATCATGGCTTCAATACCCACAGCAGGACGTGTTTTCTGCCCCACATGACTCTAGAAGTCTCTTTCAGAAGAGGCACGGTAGGTAACAGTGTTAGTTAAGCTCTGGCTCAATGATGGCAGAGTTTACTGGAAATTAGGTCAAAGTGAGCCAAGCCCCAGCAGGCTGCCTTTGTACTCATCTCCCACCTGGTGAGAGGTGAGGATGTGACCTCTCTAGGCACTGCCTTTGCTCCCTGACTTAGGATGTGTAGCAGATCCAGCGGCTTGGCCAGTGTTTGGGGAATCAGCAGCCCCTGTGTGTGGCAGAGAAAGCAGTGTCAGGGTGGCAGCTGCACCCTGCTCCATGGCACTCCTTCATGGAGAGGATAAAGCCAGGGGTAAGAGCATGAGCACTAGCATTGGACCAACAGGGTTCAAATCCCAGAGCTGTCATTTACAGGCTGTCTGACCTTGGGCAAGCTACTTAACCTCCCTGTGAAGGGAAGAGATGATGGACCTCCCTCACGGGATTGCTGAGAGGACTGCATGAGTTGGTGCCTGTGATTAGAACCATGACTGGTCCACAGTGAGTGCTCAGTGTGTGCGCTGGCTGTCTGCTCTGCTCGCTTCCAGGGACATGCTGGGCCCAGCTTCATGTAGCCCCTAGTGGCCCAGAATCTCCCCTTCACATCAGGCTGTGGTGACAGCTGATGCTTCCTCCAGCCAGCCCCAACTCTACCCCATGGGGACACCCAGAACAAGGTGTTTCTTTCCTTAACATATGTCGGTGCTTCCCAAATTGTGCAGCAACTCTCTCAACCCACTGAGTCTTCGATTCTCCAGAATTAACATTTGCATTCCTCCTGACGATTTCTCTGGGACACAGTTTCCAGCTTGCATCCCAGCTGCTCCCTGCTGATCACACAACCTTTGTCTTTAACCCTCCTTTCCTGGGAGGTCTGAGCACAGAGAACTGGGTCAGACCCACATTCCTCCAAACAAATGTCACACTTCTGGTGAGGCCCCACAGGAAGCTATATCCCAACAGTGGCTTCCACTGAGCAGGCTGTCAATGGGTGTGCCCTGCGATGTCCCGAGGGTTGCTCTTAAGCCATTTTGCACCCAGTCCATTCCCCTGGAGTGGCATTTCTACCACTACAGACTGAGAGACTTAGGCAAGCTCCTCAGCGCAGGGCAACAGGCCCCCTCCTTATCTTTCTCTCTCTCTTTCTCATTCTCTCTGTCTCTCTTCATACAAGTTTCTATGAATGTGGATTTATCTCTGTATTTAACTCTCTTTAGCTCCCAGGACCTAAGAACTGGGTTGGTGTGTCTCAGAAGAAAAGCTATGGGCTTTGTAATCAAACAGAAATGTCTCTTGGTTCTGCCCCCGACCAACTGTGTGACTCTGGGTCATTTCTCCTCTCTCTGAACCTCAGTTCTCTCACATGTATAGTGAGGACATCAGTATCAACCTCCTGTACTGAGTCTGAGAAATTACGTACAATGGGGATGTGGCACCCCCTTCTGCTCCCCTCCCAGAGCCATTGGGTGCCCCAATAATCATGACGATGAGGAAGATTGTTGCCATTTTTCTCCTTGAGGAGCTGAGAAAAGCTTGCTCAAAAACAATTAATCACTTACAGAAGAAAAGCAGAAGGTGTCAGACCAATTATACATTGTTATAAACACAGGAGTGCGCAGAGCAAAGAACCCCCACCAGAACACACAAACCCCAGGTCAGTGCCACCCACTGATGAGCTTGATCAGACAGTTCTCCCCTGCTGGCAGTTTGCACCACCCAGGGGCACAATCACCTACAGCACCAACCTCCTCAAAATTGAAATCACAGAGCTCTCCCTGGCTATACATATACTAAAATTGGAATGATACAGAGAAGATTTGTGTGGCCCTGTACATGGAAGACACAAATTCAAGAAGTATTCTGTGTTGTGTAAGGCCATATTCTGATGCATGCTCTAACATGCAGGGAACTTGAGAATGTCATGCTAAGTGAAATAAGCCTAACACAAAAGGGCAAACACTGTGTTTCCACTTTTATGAGGCACCTAGAGTGGTCATATTCATAGAGACAGACAGTAGAAGGGAACTGGGGGGAGGAGGGTGGCAGTTGGTGTTGAATGGGTGCAGAGTTTCCATTTGGGGTGATGAAAAAGCCATGGAGATGGATGGTGGTGATGATGCATAGCAGTGTGAATGTACTTAATGCCACTGAGTTACATACTTAAAATTGGTGAAAATAGCAATTTTTATGCCGTCTACATTTTAGCACAATTTTAACAATGGCAAGAAAGTGTTATCACAAAGCAAATCCTGCCAGGTGGGCAGGAAGAGCAGAGGTTGTTGGAACCGTATTTATCATGTCAGTGTGGCTGATGCACATGTGGGTGTAAGTCCCCATCAGCAGGAGCTTCTTAGCTCTGTTGACCATGGCTTGGTTAGCCCCATCAGATTTGGGATGGTCAGCAGCATTTGGGGAAGGACCTGCTTGGGGTAGGGTGGTCCCTGGCCATATTCTTGTCCCAGTGGGTGAAGAACAGGGCAGCTCCAGAGCAGGACTTGACATGAGTCAAATACAAAGGCAAAGAGGTTGTGGAAGGTAAAGCACAGTGGTTCCCAGCATCCACTATGCTGTCCACTGGGCCTGGACTCACATCCCACTCTCCGCTAATGACTGGCTGTGTGACCTAAGAAAGATTATTCAGCTCTCTCTGTCTATTCAAATAGGCGTTCTAGCACTTACTCCGTAGAGCTATTGTCAGGACTGTGGGGTTATGGGTGTCAAACACTTAGCATGGTGCTTGGCAACAGATGAGTGAACCTAGACACTAGGTTCTGTTTCAATGACAACAGCAGAGTCAATGAGGACCCTTTAGAGAAGAAACCAAGGTGAAATGAAGTCTTCAGTCATTTCCTGGGTGAGTTTTGGAGATCTGCCTTTTCCTCCAATTATAATCCCCTCCCTCTGTGAAGTCAGGAATTTCCTGAAGAAATGTGTGGTATCAGGCTCTGGGGTTGAATTTGGGCTATGGTGAAAAAAGCTGACTTAATGTGCGCTGTAGGTAAGTCATTTCACATCCCTGAGCCTCACTCAGTTTTGTTTGCCTGCACAATGGGTTAATAAAATTGATTGTATGGCATCATTGTGGGAATTAAATACAGTATTTATTCAGTACTGAGTACAGTACTTGGAATATGTTTGGTTTATGCAATAAAAAGCAGCCATGATGATGTTTGATTTGGTGTGTGAAGATCAGGTTCAAATCCAGACCCATCATCTGCTAGCTGAGCAACTTTGAAAAAGGAGATATCACTCTTCAGAATCTCAGCTTTCTCATCTGTCAAATGGGAATGATAATACTGCTATTCGGTCCATAGAATTATTGAGAAAACCTGCAGAGATGTGTCTTCTTGGACATGGTGTGTAACGACAAGGCATCTGCAAATGGGAACTGCCATTTCTTAAATAGTGGGCACACTCCAGCACCTATGCATGAATGAGTGACCAAGACACTGACTGGCACTACCTTGAGGACTGCTCCACGCAGCATGTGGAGGCTGGACCCTCGACAGGGTGGCCTGCCAGATGCCTGCTGTGCTGGCTGCAGTGTCATTTCGCCTGCTGCTTCACCCCACAGAGATAAGCCTTTCCAGCCAGTGGTCAGGAGGTGCCTGCTCAGCACTTCTCTGGGCTGTGTTTCTGCTGATCCTCCCTGGGTATCAGTGCCTCTCCAAGCAGGTTGGCCAGGAAAGGATTTATCAGGGGTGGGGGGAGAAATGACCTCTGTTGTGAGACCTCAGGTGGGCAGTGGGGAGGCTACACTGTCCAGCCAAGTGAGAGGTGCTGACAGGATCCCAACCCTGGAGTCAGAGGTGGGGATGGGGGAGCAGAGCTGTCCACACCCATCAAATATCCTCAGGTCCAACCTGAGTGGACGAGGCTCTAAGGCTGGCTCTGTTGGGGCTTGCCTTGGGGGAATCACTTTCTTTCTCTATGCTTCTATGTCCAATTCTGACATTCTAGAATTCCAGAAACATCACCAGAATACAGGTGAGCAAGCGAGATGCAGGAGCCGGGCAGGCAGGGCACAGCTATCAGAGCATACAGAATTTGACACCAGTGTGACCTGAGCTCTGGACTCAAATCCTGACTCATAACTTTATTGGGTGGATGATCTTACCCCTGTTACTTAACTTCCCAGAGCTTCAGTCTTGTTTGTGAAAGCAGTTTGAAAACTAATTTTTAGACTCATATGAGAATTAGAAATAATATATGCAAAGCATTGGCATATAATATATACTCAATAAATCATATATGTGCAGCAGGTCTTTGAATAATATTGTTTCACTTAAGGTTGTTTTGTTCTACTGTTCATGAGATGCTGTAGGAATTTAACCTTTATCCTGTGGCAAAACTGGTTTTGTTAGACATCATTTTACATAAGTTGCAGAACCTACTGACAATGTTAAGTGAGGGTTTAATGTGTATGGTGAAGGTTTGCCTACTTTGTCTTCTGTCATTTACCTATCATCTGTCTGTTATCTATCTATCTATCTGTCTATCATCTATCCATCACTATTGTCATCTTTTTTGTAGAGAACCCTAACACTACCCACCCCACCCCACCCCCATCTCCTGGAAGGATCTCTCGCAGCGGCAGGTGAGTGGCACCTGAGGGCACTGGTAGGTCGCCTTGGGGTTCAGGGTCTCTGAGGTGAGCAGGAAGATGAGCCTCTCTAGGGGATTTACTCATTAGCCAGGAGCTTGCAGGTGAGGCTGTCCTGGCTTAGAGGTGCACTGTCCTGGTTTTAATTGGGAATAATTAAAAACAGCAGTTTTACTCTCTTCCCCTCCCCAACCCCTCTCCAAGCCTGGAGAACAGTCAGCTCCTGTGGGGACAATCAGCACAAAACAGAGCCACTAAATGCTCTTCAGTATTCCTAGAGGATGACCACATGGGGCTGTGATCTTAGTGTGAAAGTAAACATGTGAATAAATTACATGTAAGTAAATCACAGACTTTCTCCCATCTGTACTTTTCTGGGAGTCTCTCCAGCCCTGTTTGTTTGGGGATATGGGTCTGAGGCCTCAGGAACTGCCTGCTTTCCTCCTGCTCCTGGTCTGGCTGGGGAGAGGCCATGCTGGGCTTCACAGGGAGCAAGGCTGATGAGGACAGCTGCTGCCCCTCTCCCACACGCAGGTGGGTAGAGGGTAAAGGCCAGCAGGGGGCTGAGTAAGTGCCCACTGCCCAGTGTGTGAGTGTGAGTATAGTGTGTGTGTATAAATGTGTGTACATTGGCCAGTGTGAGTGCAAGTGTATGCACTGGCTGGTGTGTATGTGTGTCCATAGGCTGCTCTGTGTGTATGTGAGCATGAGTGTGTGCTATTGGCCAGTGTAAAAACAACACTAGTGCGTGAGCAGAGCTGAGAGGAGGGTGTTGGCTGGAGGCTGTGAATGGATGCAAGCACTGAGATGAGGTAGGCATTTGAATAAGGTGATGCACTGGAGAAATTGTCCTTTCAGGGGCCTACAAGTCTCCTGTGATCTGGCCCCACCACCTCCCTGCCCCAACTCCTAGACTCTGGCCCTGTCTCTCTTCGTTGCAGCCACCCTGGCCCTTTGTTGCTTCTTAAATGCTCTCCAGCCTTGGGGCCTTGCCTAGGCTGTTCCCTCTGCTTGAAATGCCCTTCCCAAACTGCTCTGCTTGGCCACCTCATTCAAGTCTTTGTCAAGTCTCTCCTCCTCAGTGAGGCCCTCCAAGTCCCTCTATGTAATATTGCCATTTGCCCACTACTCCAAAGCCCCAGCCCTACTCTGCTTTTTTTTTTGTATAGCATGGATTGCACCCCACACCTATATAATTTACCCATTTATTGTGCTTGTTGCCAGTTTCCCCATGAGGACGATGATCTCCAAGTTGTTTTGTTCACTGATGCATCCCAAGCACCCAGAATGGTAGCATTTATTTTACAGCATATTTGCCCCTGGTTTCTCATTTGGAACATGGAGACCATAATAGAAGCTATACACTTCACAGAGTTGTTGGGCAGATTGAATGAATGAATGTACCTGAGAGCATGGAGAACAGTGCTTGGCACATAGTTCAATAAATATTAGATATTACTACTACCCTCCATCCCAGCTTGGAAGTGAAGATTAAATGAGTGAGCCATGTAAAGGCTCCAGTGCAGTGGTGGTTAGACAGGGCACAGGTGCTTCATAAACACTTCTTACCTCACTCCCACCCCAGCCCTTAAAAATCCCAGGAAGGGAAATTCCCTGACCTTTCCCAGTCATGGAAGCCATATTTTTGGATGCCCTTTAAGACAGAGAGTTGGTAATCAGCATATTTATCACCTTTTTTTTTGTTTTTTAAATCAAGGAAGGAAGCAAGAAAGCCCCCAGCCTGTTCCCTGCCAGGGCTACACAGCTTCTGGTCCTATAGGTAGTTAAGAAAATGTGACCTAGCCCGGCAAACACATTCTCTGATGGGTGTGATTGCAACTTGGACTGCACAGGACCCGAGCTCTGGCCTAAAATTCTGGAGCCTGGTTCTTCTCCCAGATCTGTGGCCCCCAACGGGCTGTATGTAACCCAGCCCAAGTCCTCTCTCTCGTCTGGGTCTCTGCTCTTCACCGGTGAGGGGTCTGGTGATTAGTGCATTTCTAAGGTCTTCCCAGACTCATCCATTCACCCAGTAAATGCCACAGAGGCTTTGTCATGTGCCAGTGCTGCTGTAGGCCCTGGGTTATACAGCAGTGACCATGAGAGACAAGTCCTTGCCTCGTGAGTTGACCTTGGTGGGAACAAGGTAGATGGTAAACAATAACCACAATGAGTAAATTATTTAGTATGTTAGGAAGTAGAGCATCCTATGGAAAAAGGAGAAGCATCACAGGTTAAGGGAAGGCAAAAGTGTTAGGGGGTAGGGA